TGACAAGCACAATTGTTAGGTATATTATCCAGGAGGCGCATGGACGAGGTAGTAGATATCCTAAGTTAGCCAATAGACTACATGCTATGAATATATATCCGTAAAAGGTAAAAAGAGAATGTTGGTTGAAGATAGCAAGGATGGAGCTTATGTCCATGCCTGCTAAGTTTTTTTTTTCCGCTTTGTAATGTTCACTTGGTAAATAAAATCATTTAATTACCAAAAAAAAAATGTTGCTGCATTATTTATTTTGCGCATGAATGGCATGTATTTAGTTACTATTCTCTCTGTCCACTTTTAATTATCATGTTGTGTTTTTTGAAAGTTAATTTGACTAATTTTTAAAATTAAATTAGATTACATTAATTCGATATTTTAAACAAAATATCTAGATATTTAAAAATTATACGAAAAGTACTAAATTGCAATTTTTTACATATCAATATAATAAAAAAATAAATCATATAATTTGACTCTAACAAAAAAAACCATGATAGTTTAAAGTGGACGGAAGTAGTATAAAACTAGTGGAAGTATTTAAATGTGAATTAGTTTAGAAGATTTACGTGTTACAATCTTTTATGGTCAAAAGTAAATCTTTAACCATTATAACTTGATTTGTCGGTTGCGGGAGAATTCACGTGTTTCATATGAACTTACTTTATGCACGACTTAATTCTCTTACATGTAAGTACCACGTAGGTTAATAAAAATAGTGACATGCATATTTAATTGTATAATGATAAATATGTGCCTAAAGTTGGATGTTAAGGGTAAATATGACCCTTTTCTAAGAGTATAAGGGTAAATATGACCCTCTTCCGTTTTCAAAATTAACTTGAAATAAAAATTAAAATAATTTATAGTAATTATAGCAAAGTTCCAATACACATTCGGATGATAGTAAAAATTTATTCGTACGTAATGTTCACATTAAATAAATGAATGCAAAATACGTATCCTTTTAAGTACCTATTTATAACTTAATCATGATTAAGTATATGTATTCTAACTTTAAATTTTAACTATCATAGTTAAATTTCTTAATTTAATAATAATATCGAGTGCGACTAAATTTTTATTTCCAAAGAACCTAACCTGTTTTGATTCTTTTCGTCTATATCTTTTGCGTGTAAATCCTGCAACATGATAACATTATTATTTTTTTGTCAAATTTTTATTTTTTAAAATATTGTTAACAATTACTTCCTAACTTCTAGTTGAATAAATCGATTTATTAATTAGGTTTCTTTGTATTTAGCCAATGTTATTAGGAAATAATTTAAGACTCCAATACTTTTATATAGGTTTAAATAAGGTGACACCATGACGAATGCAAATAGACTCTTAAATTTTATTACTACAATGTAACGACGTGTTATACTCAAGAATAAAAAAGAAATATACAAAAGAAAATATAAAAAATTTGAGTGATGTTCGAAAAGGATTATTTGTATATGGATAATGAAAAATATAAACTTTTTTTTTTGTTTCATACATATCCATGATTTGATTAATTTGTCTTTACTTTTATTAATATGGATTGTGATGTTATGCTAAAATCTCTTTATACTGATTAAAAATTTCGAGTTTGAATTTTTAGGAATGAAAAAAATTTGTTAGAAATATCGCCCTCAAAAATAAATTATTTAATACATTAATCTGAAATTAATCGAATTCTAATATGATTATCAGACACTAAAAAGTCAAAAGAAAGGATTCGTACTTATTTGTTTTAAAATGCAACTATATATAGGTGTCATGTCATGTTTCCACTTCGACCAGGTAGAGTAGTAATCCACGTGCGTGTTTGATCGAACACAAGAAATTTTACTTAAATAATGTATTTGTGTTAATAAATTTATTAAATATATATAAATACTTTTTTCGTTCGCTTTTACTTGTCAATTTTTTTAAAAATAAATTTTCATTTTTACTTGTCACTTTTCACATATCAAGAAAGTCAATAACTTTTTTTCATGTTTTACCCTGAGTATGAAATACTTATTTTCCAAATCATTTTTCAATACTTAATTAATTTAATAGGGGATAGTTTGAGAAAATACATATATCATTAATTATTTTCTTAATGGGTATGTCAAGTCAAATTATAATAAGTAAAAGTAAACGGAGAGAGCACTAGATATAGAATATAATTATCATCACATATTAAAATCGTTTATAGAATTCAGAACTCATAGTTGATATTCTAATTTTGCCTCCATCAAATTGTGATAAGTAAAAGTAAATGGAGGGAGCACTAAATATATAATATAATTATTATCTCATATTCAAATCGTTTATAGAATTCAGAACTCATTAATCAATAAAACTATGTTTCTTCATATTTTATTTGTCACTGTAATATATTTTCTGTCACTTTAAATTTTGTTACAAATGAATACGACCAGACCTTCCTATAGCAATCGTTATCTATAATAATATTTCATTATAATAAACCATATATATGAAATCAAATCTTTCGTACACTATAATATTCAAAAGATAATGAAATAAATATCGTTATTATAATATAAAAAGTAACTATTGTAGTCAACTTCAAATAATGTTGCTGCATTAATTATTTTGCGCATGAATTGCTTGTATTTAGTTACTATATAACTAGTAGAAGTATTTTAATGTGAATTAGTTTAGAAGATTTACGTGTTACGATCTTTTATGGTCAAAAGTAAATCTTTAACAATTATAACTTGATTTGTCGATTGTGGAGAATTCACGTGTTTCATATGGCATAAAAAGGTAAATTTTAAGTCAAATTTAAATATTTTTTAAGTCAAAAAATAAAAAGTAGCGGTGACCTACTTTTGGTTTTTGATATTTTAAGTCATTTTAAATTTATTTTGAGTTATTTTTAACCTTGTCAAACACTAACTTATTTTAAGTAATTTTTTATTTATTTTAAGTTATTTTTATTTTTGTCAAACACTTTCAGAAGTCAAAAACTAATGTAAAAATAGATTTGACCAACTTTTAAGCCAATCCAAACACTCTCTTAATCCTCCTACATGTCGAATTAATTTTACTTTGCAAATGAACATAAAAATCTTACCTTTTGTTAGATCTTCATACTCTTCTCTCTGTAGTAAGCTTTCTATCTAATGTGAGGTAAGATGATGGGTATTGAAATTAGGGCTAATGAGTCGTGAAGGTTGGGTTGAATTTTACTTAATGGATCGTGAAGGTTGGGTCGTATTTTACTAAATGGGTCAAATTTAATACTAAATAGAAAATATTTTTTTAATTATAATAAAAATATACATGGAGCCATGTAGGCGCCACGTATGCTAATGAAAATGGTGATATGATACTTAACTGTACAATGGCACATGTGTGTCCACAGCTGGATGATAAAGGCAAATATATCAACAACAAAAAAAATATGACACAGTTTAAATATGATCATTTTCTAAGAGTACAAAGGTAAATATGACCCTCTTCCGTTTTCAAAATTAACTTGAAATAAAAATTAAAAGAATTTATAGTAATTATAGCAAAGTTCCAATACACATTCGGATGATAGTAAAAATTTATTCGTACGTAATGTTCACATTAAATAAATGAATGCAAAATACGTATCCTTTTAAGTACCTATTTATAACTTGATCATGATTAAGTATATGTATTCTAACTTTAAATTTTAACTATCATAGTTAAATTTCTTAATTTATTAATAATATCGAGTGCGACTAAATTTTTATTTCTAAAGAACCTAACTTGTTTTGATTCTTTTCGTCTATATCTTTAGCGTGTAAATCCTGCAACATGATAACATTATTATTTTTTTGTCAAAAATTTTTTTTTTAAAAATATTGTTAACAATTACTTCCTAACTTCTAGTTGAATAAATCGATTTATTAATTAGGTTTCTTTGTATTTAGCCAATGTTATTAGGAAATAATTTAAGACTCCAATACTTTTATATAGGTTTAAATAAGGTGTCACCATGACGAATGCAAATAGACTCTTAAATTTTATTATTACAATGTAACGACGTGTTATACTCAAGAATAAAAAATATACAAAAGAAAATATAAAAAATTTGAGTGATGTTCGGAAAGGATTATTTGTATATGGATATGAAAAATATAAACTTTTTTTTATGTTTCATACATATCCATGATTTGATTAATTTGTCTTTACTTTTATTAATATGGATTGTGATGTTATGCTAAAATCTCTTTATACTGATTAAAAATTTTGAGTTTGAATTTTTAGGAATGAAAAGATTTTGTTAGAGATTTGATGCGTTAATCTGAAATTAATCGAATTCTAATATGATTATCAGATACCAAATGAAAAGTCAAAAGAAAGGATTCGTACTTATTTGTTTTAACTAGATATGAAATTCCCGTGGTATGCACGGGCCCAACGTGTATCATTTTGAAAGAAGAACTACTGGCTTTTCTCTTTTGTAGTTTGATTATCATAAACAAATATTGTTGCTATACAATAAAAGGACAAACTATAGTAATATTGTCAAACTATTTTTATAAATACAGAAAAGTTTCCGAAGTATAAATGCCACGATAAATACGTCATTAGAATTTCTCTAATGCTCAATTGACGATGCTCCCTGGTAGAATTTGAGATCAAGGAGAGGGAGCTACACAAGCACTTGCAAGAGAGTGAGCTGCAAATCAAAAAGTTATATAAGCTCTATTATAAATTCATACTCGAAGTCATGAGATGATATTCATTTTCTGAAATAGCTCATAGATTTCAGTGGTAGTTCAATTTGGTATTTGCTTAGCCCATACTACAAAGCGTCATGATTCATTGCCAGATGAAAATCAGAATTGCTTCAATTCTTCATTTGTACTACAATAAAACACATGTACTTTAAGGCCTATGTGCAGAAGTGTAATAATATTTTTAAAAATAACATAAATGTACTGAAAATTTTCCAAATTACTAAAAAGTTCAAGTAAAGCTTTTTCAAAAATAGATTACCTCATGTCTGAAACGAGAGCTTACTGAATGACTTGTTTTCACATTTAGCTTTTCTAGTTCTTTCTTCCAACTCTTTCCTCTCAGACTTGTAGTCAAAACTATGAATCTGTATCATTGTGCTACAAGATACAAGGTATTTCTTTAGCTTAAGCCTTCTCTTATCAATAGTTATTATACTTGCATCACAAATATATACTCAAGCACATAGTATATATTCAAAGTAAACATAAAAAGCTTAACGAAGGTAAAACACTCACCTTGAAGCCTCGTTCGTCTACTTTCTTGTAATTGTAGGCATAATAGACAAGCTGACATTTTCTTACTGTCTCTACACTGCAACGACTCTTTGGTAGACAAAATCTTCCAATTAAGGGAACTTCAATTGGCCAAACAAAATTGTCAAGTTCTTCTCCGCAGCTAAGTGCCTTCACGATCAAATAAAAATATTTTCAATCAAGATAATGTACACTCCTCGAGAACTCAAAATTTGCACTACCATGCATTATTTCACTATCAAAATTCATAGTGAGCATTCACTGAACTGTCTTCCTTTTTCAATAAATTTGTCCAAAATTCAAATACCCATAAACAAAAAAACTATACTGACATTTTAGTAATTGCGACAATCTTAGGCCATGAAATAGTGAAAGAAGAAAACTTTAATTAATATAGCCCTTCCTTTTTCAAACTGCTTTGAATTTTTTATTTTTTTATTAAGTCGACGTTCTATCAGAAACAACCTCTCTACTACAATCTATAGCTTATATTTGGTATATAATGCAAGAAAAAAGGCTCTGATTGTCAAAATGTATCACCAAAAGATGAGGACTTAAAATAACAAAAGGGTCACATGTTTCAAACTATCAAATTATTTAGTACGCCAAATATTGATCAATGCCAGATCTCTTAATTTCTTTAGTTGGTATGATGATAAAATTCACATGAAATTGGTCCTTCATGCAAGCTGCAAGAGAAGACGACAAATAGAAGAAGAAGAGATCCAAAGAAGAATTAGAAAAGTCGTGTCGGAGAGTACCTACAGGTTCCAAATGATGTTTTAAGATAATCAAGTAAGAAAATTTATCTCTTGTGGTGGTCACCAGTAATGACATGTCCCATGCTCAAACAAACTTTAGATCAAGCTAGCATTTGATCAAAATTTTATCTTCAATTTCAGAGGCATAGTTAATAAGAACTTATTACACAAAACAACAGAAAAAGAATGTGTCTACTACATACCAACTGCTTGCTTGGTACTATCATGTGATGTATTTACTTCAAGGAATAGCCTTGCTAGTTATTATCAGCCTCCTTTATTCGTGGCCTTCACGAAAACATCAAGACCTGTCAGATAACGTCATCAAGACAGGAAATTACTATGTTTGTGAGAACGTATATAAGAAAAAAATGTCATGTTGAAATAAATAAAAGTGTAGATAATTTACCTAGTATTTGATCTATTCAAATAAAATAAAGTTATTTCAATCACCATATTTCTACCCCCAGATCATAGTCTTAAGTATCTGTATCCCTATATCCTGAAATTAAGATCATTGAAGGGATATACTCAGCATCATGGTATAGACTATACAGAAACTTTTTCACCTGTTGTCAAGATGACAACTGTGAGGGCACTCATTGCCACTGCTGCAAAGAAACAGTGGGATATATATCAACTTGATGTTAACAATGCATTTCTCCATGGAGATCTACATGAGGAAGTATATATGGATGTACCACCAGGTCTGGTCACTCCTCACACAGATGTCGTTTGTAGACTTAACAAGTCCTTATATGGTCTGAAACAGGCTAGTAGACAATGGTATGAAAAACTGACTGCAGCACTTCACACAAGAGGCTATGTTCATTCCCTCCATGATTACTCCTTGTTTTACAGGAAAAGAGGTACCTCTACTGTGTTTCTAGGTGTTTATGTTGATGACATCCTGCTCACAAGTACAGACATTGCTAAAATTAATGAGCTCAAGAGGTTCCTTGACAATCAGTTCAAGATCAAAGATCTTGGAAGACTGCATTACTTCTTGGGTCTGGAAATTCTGTACAAAGATGATGGGATTCTGATTTCTCAGAGGAAATTTGTCTTGGACCTTCTTAAGGAATTCAAATGTGATCACATGACTCCATTGTCTTCTCCCCTTGATCCAAATGTCAAACTTAAATCACATGAAGGGAAAGCCATAACTGATCCTACTTATTATAGAAAACTAGTTGGCAAGTTGAATTTTCTTACAAACACAAGACTTGATCTTGCTTATGGTGTGCAGCTTCTTAGTCAGTACATGCAGGATCCTAGGGAACCTCATCTACATGCTGCTTTTCACATGCTCAGGTATCTCAAGAAGGATCCCACTCTAGGTGTTTTTATGTCCTCATCTGCGAACTTTAGGGTACAGGCCTACTGTGACTCTGACTGGGCTGCATGCCCCGACTCAAGAAGGTCAGTTAGTGGTTATATTGTGTTGTTGGGAGATAGCCCTGTTAGCTGGAAATCCAAGAAACAAGAAACAATTTCCCTTTCCTCAGCTGAAGCAGAGTACAGATCCTTGAGAAAAGTTGTAGGTGAATTGACTTGGCTGCAACGGTTATTTGAAGAACTGAATGTACCTCAGACTGGGCCATTCTCTGTGTACTGTGATAGCCAAGCAGCCATTCACATTGCAAGAAATCCTGTATTCCATGAACGTACGAAACATATTGAAGTTGATTGCCATTTTGTGAGGACTAAACTGCAAGAGGGCCTCATTACCTTGCACCACATTGACACTCATGCTCAGTTAGCTGACATTCTTACCAAAGCCCTCACTGGCATCAAACATTCTGCTCTCTTAGACAAGTTGGTTTCGCTTACTTCTCCTCCAACTTGAGGTATATCCTGAAATTAAGATCATTATTGAGATTAAGTAACTTAAATTAGTGTACATGACATATTAATTACATTGAGTTTGTTAGAGTTAGTTGTATACAGCTGTCAATCATGTGGCAGTTATTCTTTTCTCTTCAAGTTAGTTAGGATTTAGATATTTTCTTACTCAGCTGTATAAATACGTTTGTAAGCTACCATTGTAGGTAACAAGTTAATACACAGATTTACATTTTCCTTCTCTCAACTGAGCTCTGTGTTCTCATCTCTAATGGAGGTTTTCATCCTCCCAAGTTTCTCATCTTAACATGGTATCAGAGCAAGGACGATTTGTTCTTCCTCTTCCTCTTCATCTTTGATTTCTTTCTTTGATTGCCTTACCAAATTATCCCCAAAATGGTGGAACTCACATCTGCGAGCACTGCTTCAGCTAGCAATTCTACTTCCTCTGGAGCTGATACAGGAAGTCCTCTCTACATTCATCCCTCAGATAATCCCAGTGCAGTACTTGTGCCCGTTCCTTTTGATGGCACTGGTTTTCATTCCTGGCGTCGTAGTGTGCTTCGATCATTATCAGTGAAGAACAAGCTAGTTTTCATCAATGGTGAATGTAAAAGACCAAACGCGACTCATTCCACTTATCGTCAATGGGTGAGATGTGATGATATGGTTACGTCCTGGATTCTCAATTCTCTAGGTCGAGACATTGCAGATAGTGTCGAGTATGTCAGTGATGCATTGGAGCTGTGGACGGAATTGGAGGATCGTTACGATCAGACAAATGGAGCAAAGTTGTACCAAACTCAGAAGGAAATCAATGATCTCAGTCAAGGTATTCTCGATATCACTACATATTACACTCGCATGAAGAAACTTTGGGAAGAATTGAACAATTTGTGTGTTTTAAGTCAGTGTAATTGTGTGTGTATCTGTGGAGCTAAGGCAAATACTCATAAGGCAGAGCAAGATAGACGTTTAATTCAGTTTCTCATGGGCTTAAATGTGGTGTATACCACGATTAGGGGGAGTATTTTGATGATGAATCCGTTGCCTTCTATGGCCCAAGCTTTTGCTTTGTTGATACAAGAGGAAAAACAGAGGGAATTCAAGACTAACAACCAAATGTTTGCTGAAAGTAGTTCGCTCATCGCAAGTTCACTAGATGTATCAGGAGGAAGAAACTTTCGAACAAACTATTCTCCTAACACTAATGCACCTAGGGGCAGACCTTTTTGTGAGTTCTGTAGAAGGCCAGGTCATGTTAAGGACAAATGCTACAAGTTACATGGTTATCCATCTGGTGGACCACCTCCTAACTCTCAATCCTACAACAATTATGGCACAAACCAGCATCAGAAAGCTCGTAACACTGATCAGTACAATTCAAGGCAAGCCCACAGTAATTACCCAAATCACAGGCACAACACTAAGGGAAAGGGTGTAGCAGCTAATTCTGTGAGAATATCTTATGATGGAACTGTTGTTAATCAGCAAGGGGAATCAGGCTCTCAATTTGATGCACAAGAAGGTCAAAACATCAGTATCACCAAGGAACAATATGATCACGTTGCTCATCTGTTAGACCAGTTCCAAGACACCACTGTGGCAGATCAAAATGCTGTAACATGTGGAGCTGTGAACTTTGCAGGTATCTTTGCTTGTTCTTTCTCTCCTGACGTTATTAAACTCTCATGTGAATGTTTCAAAACAAAGACTGACTTATGGATATTAGACTCAGGAGCTTCTCACCATATGACTTTTAACAAAAAACCATCTTGTGAATATGATCACTCTCCCATATCCTATGTTAGTCAGATTACCAAATGGATATAGAGTCAAAGTTACAGAGGTGGGTAATGTGCATCTTACTCCCAAGATCACTCTGTTCGGAGTACTATTTGCTCCTTTTTTCAAATACAACTTAATCTCCATAAATTCTCTAGTAGATCACCTTAAATGTACCGTTTCTTTTTCTAACAATTCTTGTATACTGCAGGCCCCTTCACTGAAGAGGCCTCTGGAGATTGGTAAAGTTCATGATGGTCTCTACTTCCTTTGCTCAGACTGTCTGCAAAAGACCAGCTCCTATGCACAACAATATTCTACTTCATACTTTCCTTTACCTAGCAATAAAATACACTGTCCATGTGTTTCTCACTCATGCTCTTCTCATTCAGATGTAATAAACTCTTCTTTTGTTCACAATAAATAAAATGTTACTGACAAATCTTTCAATTCTTTTCCTACTGATAGCATGGATTTACTGTGGCATTACAGACTTGGTCATGTACCCTTTGTAAAGATGAAAGGCATATCCTCTATACCTGTGATTTTTTCACCAAAACAACCTTTTTTTTGCCCTATATGCCCAATGGCCAGACAATCTAGATTACCTTTTCCATCTAAGTCTAACAATAGTACCAGTATTTTTGAATTACTACATGTTGACCTCTGGGGCCCTTACCAAACAGCAACTCATGACAATTTTAAGTATTTTATCACCTTGGTTGATGACTTCAGCAAATCAACTTGGACACATCTTCTTAGCAGTAAAAGCAATGCCCTACATATCATCAAAGCTTTTGTCCTCATGGTTGAAAACCAGTTCAAGACCACCATCAAAACAATTAGATCAGACAATGGGCTGGAGTTCACTAATAATGAATCCATTATGTTTTTCCAGAGCAAAGGAATTATCCACCAAAAATCCTGTCCTTATACACCCCAACAAAATGGAGTAGTGGAAAGAAAGCACAAATACATTCTTGAAACAGCAAGGGCTCTCCTTTTCCAATCCAAACTTCCAGTAAAGTATTGGGGTGAATGTATACTCACCTCCACATATCTCATCAATAGACTTCCATCTTCCCCTCTCCACAATAAGTGCCCTTATGAGATTTTATATCAACAAAAGCCTTTATACTCACACCTAAAGAGTTTTGGGTGCCTTTGTTACCCCACCATTCCAAAAACCCACAGAACCAAATTTGAACCAAAGGCCATGCCACATGTATTTGTTGGATATCCTTATGCCACAAAGGGTTACAAAGTTTTGGACTTGACCACACATAAAATTCATGTCTCAAAGGATGTTACTTTTCATGAAACTATTTTTCCTTTTGCCATGTCTAAAGATACTGCCCATTTCCCATCTTTCCCTTTTCATTCTGTGACTCTAAATGATTATCCATTGTCTTCTAATGATAATTGTAATTCCCTTCCCTCTGAACAAAATGATCAGAACCAAATAGCTAATGATGTTGTCCTTGTTAATGCACCTGCTACTGATAACACATCATGTCCACATGTTCCTTCCCCCTCAATTCCCCATACTTCACATGTAGACACACTTTCTCTTCCCCTTAGAAAATCACAAAGAACCCACCAGATCCCTCCATATCTGTCTGATTATGTGCACACACTTCCCTCTCCAGCTACATCCTCTACACCATCATCTTCATCCCTCAGCGCCATGTTTTCCCTTAGGCATCATGTATCACCTGTTGCTCTAGCTCCTGACAGTCAGTCTTTTGTGATGAATGTTTCTCATGTTTGTGAACCTAACTCGTTTGAGGAAGCTTCCATGGATCCTGCTTGGCAAAGAGCTATGACACAAGAATTTACTGCCTTACATGACAACAACACTTGGACTCTCACCACTCTACCACTTGGTAAGAAAGCTATTGGGTGCAGGTGGGTTTACAAAGTCAAGCACAAGGCTGATGGGGGTTTGTAGAACTCGAATTTGATGTGTATGTTGAGTGACTCTAAAAGAGGCGAGGTTCGCAAAAGGCTGGCTACTCTCCATACATACTATACTTTGTTACATGCATTTATAGAGTTAGACATTTGCGTCTCAATTCTGAAAGCATCACCCCGTCAAGTTTTTGGATAACTTAGAATGGAGATGTTCAAGTTATGAACTATATCTATATGTATAGTTGACTGAGCAAAAAAAAATCTTAATCTTTTGTAGGAAACTTTCAAGACCTCCACACATCAACAAGTATAAGTGTATATTATTTAGTATTAAATAAGTTGCTTGTAAAGTTTTAAAATATTGTAAGGTCAAGATCCAAAATTATGTATTTAGAGTTCTTTACACACCCATGGGTATAAAAATTATTATATGCAACCATAAGAAATGTAAAAAAGAAAGAGGAGTTAGGATGAGAAAATTGTACCAATATCTTAATACATTTTATTTTTTTTAAAATAATTAGAGAATTTTATTAATAATCTCAGTCCATCAAAGGACAAACACCACCTTACACCTCCTTGGGCTAAAACCCAATCCCAAAAGAACAGTCCAAATACTAAAAAACAAACTACTAATAAGCTAGAATCCTAATCCATCTAGACAGAGGCCCAACCCATTCTTATACGGGCAAGGGATGGTTTCCTAAATCAAATCCCTTTATCTTCGTCTTCTTGTCTCCTCTTTATCCTGAAGAAATGCTTCCACCTTGGAGTAACCATTGCCGCAGCTTCTTCCTTATTTGGGTCATTGTGGTCATGGTATGGAGTGTATGGGAGCTCCAATCAGCCACATACATCGAGTGTAACAAGCTTCATCCAGGTTTAAAAGTTCAACACTAACTCCTGATCTGAGTCCTTTTTGCTGGCTGGAATAGAATAGTATAAGTAGTACTTCACTGTTTTTGCTGCCCTCGAGGCTTGTGTAAATATGATGCTTGTGCATTTTTTATGTATTAAGATATTTTGTGTAAATATCTTAATACATGAATCACCGATCGATGTTCAATTAAGGAAAACTAATGTGACAATATATTTATGCTATTATTAGGTTCTTAAAAGAACAGTAAGATTTATTATATTTGGAAAATATGAAAAGAATTGAAAGATTCGTTGAGTTGATTGACCTTACCTTTTGCCTCTTAGGACTTTTTTCTTCAAATCTTCAACTCAATTCTTAGATAGTCTTGTTCTGAATTTTGAAGTTGAGAGTAGAAAATAAGTATGATGATGATATATAGTAAGTTG